ATAGTGTTCATTTGGCTGGGGCATTTGAGAGGCCGTTGATTATGCCCTCTGCTGTTGATATTGTCCCCACTCAGCCCCTGACCTTTGTGACATCCCCTGCAACTCTTGTAGTGGGGTCTTTTGCCTCCCCCACCTTCTACTGGGCTCTGCCCTCTAGTCTATTAACATCACCTTTAGCTGAATATGCTTGGAGGGTGTCGCACGTAGGGGCCTGACTGGAGACATCCATTGATGTTGTACCTAACTCTTTGTTATTATTGTACCCTGAGACCCTGTAATCTGTAGTAGCCAAATTCGCTGTTTTCCCAAGGGCGTGGCTTTCCGGGGGTCCTCCTCCACCGACCCTCCCTGATTACTTTACCGATGTAGCTAGTAACTCAATTCATAGTGGGGGTGGGGGGGTCTCTCCTTCTTGTCTCCTTCTCGGATGCACGCCCTCTATTTTTTTCCCCTGTTTGGGATGTTCTCCACCTCTATAAACTATCTTGACCTAGTTCCTACTCAGGATGATTATATATTTATTTGTCATGGAAGGCTACCCTCTTTTTCTCTCACAGGAACCCCTTGGCATAACGCTACATAGTTAACATCATGGTTCACCTACTCTATTCTATAGATATTGGGAAATGCCAACTGAGGTACCACGTCTTCCCTTTGTACTCAATAGGTCCTTTAAGCCATCCTATTGGTACTGTCATACCTGTGCTCATTCATGCTCTGTTTATATGGGGCTTGACTCTTAATGCCTTACATATGTTTTTCTCTCCTTATTAGATAAAATTGTAATTTAATACAGGTAGTTTACAGTTTACGATATTCATGCCCACTGTGATATTGGGAACACATCTCAGACCATTCCTGATTTGACCTCTCCTCCTCCATAGGATAGGCATGGTCGTGCCTACTACGTGATATTTCATGCCACTTCCTGTGTTGCAGGCGCTTTAGATACCCTATTGACATCTCTGACAAGTGTCTCTCGCTATCTTTTTCTGTCCTCCCTCACATTGTTTTCTTCCTTCGTAGTCTGCTTTCTACTTTTTCATTAGCTCTTCTTTAGCCTACCCCTTCTTTCTCCTTTTCTTTCTTTTCTCTTCTTCTCTACCCTTCTTCTCCGCCGCTCCTTTCACCCTCTGATTTTTTAGTAGTTCTCTTCCTTGCTTCCTGGTATCCCGCCCAAATCTGAAATTTTGTACCTATAATGTCAATGGCCTTAACATTGCCACAAAATGGGGACAAATACTGTATCAAATGCATAAACAACAGGTCCATGTGCTCTTGTTGCAAGAGACACATTTTCAAACTGGATCCATCCCTTCTGCTCCAACAGGTACTTTAATAGATCCACAGCACCAACCCTGACCAAAAAGCCAATCCACAAAACGCTCCCCATTGAGCTTTTAGATCACCTATCTGACCCACAGGGGAGATATCTTTTTGTAAAATTCTCTCTCTGGGGTACCAAGTTCACGATTGTCAATTTTTATCTCCTTAATGTTGATCAAGTCCCAACTGCTCTTCGCTATCTGAAGGGGCTATCTGACTTCACAGAAGGGAAACTTATTGTAGGAGAGGATTTCAATCTTAACCTAGATCCACTTCTAGACTCCTCCATGGCGAGATTGTCCATCTCCTTCTATAGGCTAAGGGCTCTTCAACGCGCTTTATGATATGAGCTTGATCAGCGTGTGGAGGGTCTTGCATCCTAAAACTCAAAATTACACTTATCTTTCTCTGGTTCACCTCTCCTACAGTCATATTGACTATTTCTTGGTGGACCAGAGCTGTTTGGATTGGTCACCAGAATTCAATATAGACAATAGGGTGTGGTCTGAATGCCGCTCGGTCTGTTTGGCCTTTTCGCCAACCTCAACCCCAATGATGGAATTGACCTGGCGATTATACGACTCACTCTTGGCGAATGAGGACTATGTGGCCTGCATCTTTGAGACCATCTCTAATTTTCTGACAAACCACACTGCCTACACCACTTTTCTCCCCTTTCAGTGGGAGGCTTTAAAATCAGTCTTGCGCAGAACCTTCGATCACCTGGGCACACATTTGAAGAAGGAGCATTCTTCCTCTATCACCACCACAGTGCAGAAACTCCGAACTCTGGAGACTAAACACAAGAGATCTCATACATCAGATGCCCTCACGGAAGTGGCATTAGCCTGATCTCAGATTCGAGAACTATACAAGGCCTCCACATGAACTTTTGCGAATAAAATAGCCCTCCATCGCTATAAATTCAAGGATAAATGTGGACAATCTTTGGCTCGCTCTCTCCACTTTTATCCCACATATTCAAGGGCCAAATGGGGAAGTGCTTTCTAAGCCTTCTGGCATTGCAAATGTCTTTAGGAATTACTACCAATCCCTTTACAATATACCGCCTCCTTACCCATTGGAACCCAACATCACCCTGGGGGACGAGAAGCAGTCTTACATATCGGAAAATGCCCTTCCTAGATTGGCCCCTATCGAGGAACTTGAGTCGGACTTCTCGGAAGATGAAGTGGCAAAGGCTATTGCCAACACCCCATCAGGCAAGAGTCCGGGTCCAGACATCTTTACATCTACTTTTTTCAAAATGTTTTTGTCCCTCCTAACACCTTTTCTGATGAAAGCCTTCAATTTCCTTTCTTGTTGTCCAAACTTTTCAACTCTTAGTGATCTTACTAGACATACTCTTCATGTATGGAACCACAGGATGTCCACTTACGGCCTCTCCAAATACACGGGACCCATGACCCTATTCTTTGGGACCCCGGCTTTCCCCCCTGGCTCTCTTTGCCCCCCAGTTTCAGAACATGGAACAAACAAGATCACAGAAGACTCGCCCAAGTCCTTCAAGCAGACCTATTTTTAATGGTTACAGAGGCAGCAAGTAGTGTCTTATGTATGTTCTTTTCCTTCTGTTTCTGACATTCTAACTTTGTCGAATGTTTTTGAATCCATCTTACTTCAATCTGAACCTCCTACCCATTGTCAGGAATGGATTCACCACTGGCGGTGGGACTCACCTGCCGTGTGGGCTGCAGTACCAGGGCTGGCCAGTGGGTGCTCTCAGCAACCAGAAGCTCACTCCTGCAATCAGCCATCACCTGAGGCTGATTGCAGGAGGTGTATTTAAGGAATGGCCAGACCTGCAGTCAGTGCCTTGGTGTATTGTTTCCCATGAGCCCCTGTACCTGCATCCTGTGTTCCTGCATATCTGCCTAGTTGCTGACCCTGCTTTGATCCTGACCTCTGCTGACCATCTCCTGTTTAACCCCTGGCTTGCCTGACCATTCTTCTGCCTGATCCTCTGTACCGCACTGCCCGTGAGTTTCTGAACGCGGCTTGTGACCCTGACTATTCTCTGCCTGCTCCTCCGGTACCTCGCTGCCCGCACGTTGCTGACCTGGCCTGCCTGACTACGCCTGACGTTACCCAGACAATCCATCCATCCCGCACGTATCTGTCCCTGTTACCAGGTCTGCCAGCCTCTTCATGTCAGGCTCCTTTCCCCGCACACCTCTGACGACGCTCTTTACCATTGCCGGACGTACTCAGGGGTCGCAATTGTGTCTCAGTCTGCTCCAAATCCATCCCCACCATCAGGGGCCCTGGTGAATAAGCAGATTGGGACTTAGACCCCGCGCCCTGTACAGTACCTAACGGCCTGCCTGACCATTCCACCTCTCCAGCCCTGACTACGCCTGTGTTCCCACACATTTCTGGTCATACCCGGATCCCTAACAGAACACCAAGGCCATTCCTGACCAGAAGTGGCTGCACAGGGAAGCCATCTTGGCTTGTTGCTGGGAAGGATGCATCTGATGAGGTTGTGTATTTGTCTCTGCTAGTCTTTGATGACAGAGATTATGCCTATCAGACTCTGAAGGAGTATACCAGGGATCAGCTGCTAGAATGCATACGGATCACTCATTTTCTAGTGGATCGGGGCACAGAGTTCTCTGAGGTGCAGCCATTGATTCAGGTTTGTGCAGAGTTGGCTTCGTCTGGTGCCCCTGAGGGCAGGGATGACTTTTTGCCGCCATTTAGTGCAGACCAGGTAGAGTCCCTGGTATGGTTATTAGAGGATGATGTGGATTGCTTCTTGGAGCATTATTCTGCATGTTCACAACAGGTGCTAAGGGATTGTATAAACGCAGTGCAGTCTTTGACCAGACAGGCTTTGTGTAAGCTGAGCTTTGTTCAACCCGTACTGCAGACATGGTCAGATTTGTTACACCCAGCCTCAGTCAGCTTGCAACAAACCAGTCCTGCTTCTCATCATTCCTCTGCTCAAAGCTCTCTTCCTGCATTCCCGACAGCACCCCCAGTGACAGCCCAGTATACCCTGCTATCTACCACGTCAGTACCCCTGCTCCCACTCTCTGCACCTATCCTGCCTTTAAATCTGTAAAGAAGTCCTCTGTAGCAACTGCTCCCTCCTTTGTTCCATCCCCCAGCTCTTCTCTGCCTACAGCTGCTCTTTCCATTTACAAACCTGCGCTTACTTACAGTGCTCCAGTAACTAAAACCAGGAAAAGGCGAAAATTCTTTCCAACCAAAACCATCCTGCCAGTATCCAAACCGGTCAGCCTGCCATCTGAGAAACAGCCTTCCGTGGTTCAGCCTGGTGCCCCGGCGCCCACAATTCAGCCTGATACCCTGATGCCCGATGACCCAGTGTATGTTACCCGGCCTAATGTTCCTACCCAGCCTGATGTTCCTACCCAGCCTGATGAACCGATCCAGCCTGATGATCCTATCCAGCTTGATGATCTGGTGCCCGCTATCCAGCCTGATGACCCGATCCAGCCTGATGACCCGATCCAACCTGATGACCCGATCCAGCCTGATGATCCTACCCAGCCTGATGATCCTATCCATACTGTTAGACAGGTTAATTCGGTTGTTAGCAAGCTGGCTGGCAAGTTGTCCAAGAACATTGTTCTCTCCCCTTTATTCACTATGTGATGCCTGTTTATGTGTCCTTGCTTCATAAGCCAGTTATAGACTTGGGCGGGTGGCCACTTTTATGCATGATGATCCTATTCAGCCTGATGATCTGGTGCCCGCTATCCAGCCGGATGGCCCGATCCAGCAAGATCCAGCCTGATGACCTGGTGTTCGTGTTCCAGCCCGATGACCCTATCCAGCCTGACAACCTGGTCCGGCCTGGTGCCTCGGTGCCCGTGGTCCGGCCTAGTGCCTCGGTGCCCATGGTCCGGCCTGGTGCCTCTGGTCCAGCCTAGTGCCTCGGTGCCCTTGGTCCGGCCTGGTGCCTCGGTGCCCGCTGTCGTGCCAGATGACTCGGTGCCTGCTGTCGTGCCAGATGACTCGGTGCCCGCTGTCGTGCCAGATGACTCGGAGCCCACTGTCGAGCTTGGTGACCCGAAGCCCGCTGTCGTGCCTGGTGACCCGGTGCCCGCTGTCCTGCAAGGTGACTCGGTGCCCGTTGTTGAGCTTGGTGACTTGGTGCCCACTTTCGTGCCAGATGACTCGGTGCCCGCTGTTGTGCCAGGTGACTCGGTGCCCGATGTTCTGCCAGGTGACTCGGTGCCCGATGTTCTGCCAGGTGACTCGGTGCCCGCTGTTCTGCCAGATGACTCGGTGCCCGCTGTCGAGCTTGGTGACTCGGTGCCCGCTGTCATGCCAGATGACTCGGTGCCCGCTGTCGTGCCAGACGACTCGGTGCCCGCTGTCGTGCCAGGTGACTCAGTGCCTGCTGTCGTGCCAGACGACTCGTGCCTGCTGCCCAGCCTGATGTACCGGTGCCCGCTGCCCAGCCTGACGTGCCTCTGTCCGCTGCCCAGCCTGACATGCCTCTGTCTGCTGCCCAGCCTGACGTGCCTCTGTCCGCTATCCAGCCTGACGTGCCTCCGCTCGCTGCCCAGCCTGACGTGCCAGCCCCTGATGTCCAGCTAAACTGGCCAATAACTGGTTCCCAGCCTGCTCCTGGAGATCCTATGTCCAGTAACCTGCCTTCCTGGGTTCTCCTACACAAAGAGAAGTCTACCAGCAGGAAACCCAGCCAGCCGGTTGACTCCGGCAATAGGATATTCACCCAGTTACCTGACCTGGGCGGTGGAACATTTTGCTCACTAGGGACTGTTTGGAGCATCCTGAGGCCGCTCCTTGAGGGGGGGGTACTGTCAGGAATGGATTCACCACTGGTGGTGGGACTCACCTGCCGTGGGCTGCAGTACCAGGGCTGGCCAGCGGGTGCTCTCAGCAACCAGAAGCTCACTCCTGCAATCAGCCATCACCTGAGGCTGATTGCAGAGGTGTATTTAAGGAATGGCCAGATCTGCAGTCAGTGCCTTGGTGTATTGTTTCCCATGAGCCCCTGTACCTGCATCCTGTGTTCCTGCATATCTGCCTAGTTGCTGACCCTGCTTTGATCCTGACCTCTGCTGACCGTCTCCTGTTTAACCCTTGGCTTGCCTGACCATCCTTCTGCCTGATCCTCTGTACCGCACTGCCCGTGAGTTACTGAACCCGGCTTGTGACCATGACTATTCTCTGCCTGCTCCTCCGGTACCTCGCTGCCTGCACGTTGCTGACCTGGCCTGCTTGACTACGCCTGACGCTACCCAGACGCTCCATCCCATCCATCCCGCACGGATCTGTCCCTGTTACCGGGTCTGCCAGCCTCTTCACGTCAGGCTCCTTTACCCGCACACCTCTGACGACACTCTTTACCATTGCCGGACGTACTCAGGGGTCGCGCGACCTGGTCTCAGTCTGCTCCAAGTCCATCCCCCATCAGGGGCCCTGGTGAATAAGCAGATTGGGACTTAGACCCCGCGCCCTGTACAGTACCCTAACGGCCTACCTGACCATTCCCACCTCTCCAGCCCTGACTACGCCTGTGTTCCCACACATTTCTGGTCATACCCGGATCCCTAACACCCATGTAGTTTCCCAATTATACTTGATTCTTCTATGCTCATCCTCTCCTGCTCTTCCTCTATATACCCACACCTGTGAGGTAGATATGCAACACACACTATCTCTCCCCTGGACTGACAAAAGTGCTTAATTTTGACCCATGCACTCTCCCCAGCTACCAAAATTCAGGAAAAAGGTTCAAGCTGGTAACTAGATGGTACAGATGCTGTCAATTCTTCACCAGTTTGACCCATCCATCCCAGATATATTTTTGATCAGTACTGTAAACTGATGGCACCGTCTGTTCTTCCCTCTCCCGAGATACTCCTCCTCTCCATGATACTTAGACCCCTTAAGCCCGTGAAAAAAGATATCTTGAGACACTTTGTGGTCACAGCCATGGCAGTCATCCCAAGCCACTGGAAGTCAAATACTGTGCCCTCCCTAAGGGAATGGGTCAACTAACTGGAATCTGTACATGATCTGGAATGCCTGTTGGTGCAGGAAGCAGGACCATGTATTGATACTCCTCTGAATTCCATTTATGGGTTGACTGCGATACCGACCCTTCTTTGGTGTAGCCATGGGGGAGCGAGTCCTCCATCCCTCCTTTCTCTCTCGCTTTTCACCTGTTTTCTTTTTCTCCACTTCTCTCCACGTGTCCCTCTTTAGTATTAATATATCACCTGATACATTCAACATTTCTTTCATATAATTTGAGATGTTTTCCAATTATCCCCAATTCTTATGTGTTCCACTGGAGCATAGAGCCCAATAACCATGTATTCATCTATGCTCACAACATTTCTTACAATACAGAGATGCCCGTAGAAAAAGGAAAGGAAAGAAAATAGTGCAGGGCAGACATGACGAGGCCAAGAGGGGGTTAAACAAAGACAGGAAAGGGTGAGAGAAAGTAAGAGGTGGTGTTTTAGTTAAGGCTAAGTACCTGATTGGTAACTGGGGGTGGAAGGTGGGGTCTTCTGCACCTGTGGGTGTGAATGGGGAGGGTCGTTCTGCAGTCCAGGAGCAGACAGCGGAGAGAGAGCTTCAGGGAGCTTGGAGCTGATGCTTTCCCCCATTCTTGCAGGGATTTCTGAGTATGGCCTCCATGGATGTGGAGGGGCTGATGTCACAGCTGCGGGAGGCTGCTGCATCCCGTGGTGCTGCCTGGCTACAGAGCCGGGTCTTGGCCGTTCTGTGGGGCCTGGGCTCGGTGGCAGCAGCGGGGGGGCATGTGGCAGGCACAGCACTTGTAGTACCTTGTGCGCTGTGGCATTAGAAAAATTATGCAATTGTTGATTCTTTTGTTTGACTAGATTGACTTTACTCTGTAATTCCTCCAATGCCGCTCTATGGATGCAGTAGGTTTAAAGAGCACATCGAATACTTTAGTTAACTTCTTTAATAACTTCAATCTTCTTCATATAACACTGTTTACAATGGCTTGTTTCGTTTATCTTACAGTGACTTATTTCTTTCGTATTACAATGGTTTAATTCGTATTACATTGGGTTGATTCGATAGCTTATCTCGATAGATTCGATTACTTATCTCGTTAGATTATTCGTTAAATTCGATAATTTCGCTGGAACTACAAGTAAACACATACAACAGATTTTACACACAGATCTACCTGCACTGTTAAACAATAGAGGAACACACAAGTGCATTAAATACCTATTTGGCCTTCTCTGTTTCCATAAAGCTTCTCTGACTGGAACTTTGTCTGTTTCCTCTTCTGTCTGGTGAGCATGTGTCTCTAGAGCAATCTAGCAGGGAGTTTTACACAGGCATAAATGTGAAACTGGCTGGGATTGGTTAAGGCTCTGTACAGTGTGAGGCTGTCTGTGATTGGCTCAGCTCTATACTAACTCGTAAAGGCATATTTTCCTTTTCTGCTTCTGCTAACACAATGAATATATAAATGTCATATAACATTCAAAGACATAAATTACAGCAATGATTCTGCTTTTGGCTTTAACATAAGCACATATACACTGTACTGAGGTTATTGGCAGGTTTGGTATACACTTATATGTGAACCATATTAGCAACCTAGGACTGGTCTTAGCTGGCCAGCTACACTCCCACCAAAATAACCTATAATTCTATGTTCTCAGCAATAGGATTCGAACATGAATTTGAGGAATTTTCCATCAGTTTCTCAACTCTCAAGTGTCTTTGTTACTCTCAAGTAGTACAACTAACTTTTGTATTGGACGTTCCAACTTGAGTGGAGTTGTGAGACGTTTTCCCTTTTTGTCCAGTTTGGAGTCTCCCATTTGTAACAATACTCTTCTTACTAGTCCTTCTTCGTCCTTTTGAGCTTCTAGGACTTTGGCCAATTTCCATTGACTTCTAGGTAAGTCGTCTTCCTTTACTAACACTATGTCATCAATATGAACATTTCTTCTAGGCGTTTGCCACTTACTTCTTAGTATGAGATGAGCAAAACTGCTCTGATAGATATTGAACTCTTCGCCATCTTTTCCTTGCGTATAAATCCTCTTTGGTTGCCAGGCGGTGGCTGTATGTAATCAGCTTTAAGGTGAAGTAGATGGTTGGGAGTTAGAGGTTCCAAGCTTGTTGGGTTGTTGATGTTGTTGACTGTAAGTGGACGACTGTTAACAATAGACATTACTTCATAGAATAGTGTCCTAAGTGAAGCATCATCTAATCTTCCGGCGTTCTTTTTCAAAACTGAACTTAGTATGTTTCTTACAGTTCTGATTTGCCTCTCCCAGACTCCGCCTGTATGGCTTGCATGTGGAGCATTCATGTGAAAATCACACTGTTTCTCTAACAATCACTCAGTTACTTTTTCTTTATCAATCTCTTTTAGAGCCTTGTTCAAGTCGTTCTTTGCTCCAACAAAATTAGATCCTTGGTCAGATCTAAGTTCTCTGACAGTACCTCTAATGGCTATGAAACATCTTAAGGCATTGATAAAGACGTCGGTTGACATATCTTCCAACATTTCCAGGTGAATTGCTCTGGAGCTTAGACACGTAAATATCAGTCCGTATCTCTTGTACTTCGCTATAACTTTGCTTCCTTTCACTATCCAGTAACCACCTTCTCTCAAACAGCTTTGAGTAAAGCTTCTTCCTTGATGCAAGATTTGTTGTGGTAGTGATTGATAATCAATCTTGTGAAGGTAGAATTTTTTGGTAGAAATTGCTGGGATGCTTAATTTTGTTAGGTAGCGACGCATTTTCCAGCCTCCCTCCCACCTTCAGTATACCCTCCTGCAGAATAAGATTAAGCTTGTACAATGGGTGGTTGTTTGGAAGTCTCTTAGGTTCTTGACTAAGTTTCTTCAATTCTTCACTGTAGAATCTTTGATGAATGAGTCTTATAACCGTTTCTTCAGCTTTCACTCTTTCCTCTACATTCAACGATTCTTTCTTTCTGATTCCTTTTGCTAAGCGTTGAATTCGAGCTATTGTGTTTATGACTGTATTCCACTTTGAACATCTGGCTAGTCGTTCAAGTATGTCATCTTGACATTTGGCGGCAGTGCTCAATGTTTGAACTACCTTTACTTCTGGATCACCCATAGACAGTTCTGTATAACCTTCACTGGGTTTGATTTCCTTTTCCCAAAGGAACTCTGGACCGGTGAACCAGTTTGAATTCTTCAATTCTGTTACATTCCGGCCTCTTGAAGCATGATTCTGCCGG